GTTTTCATGTGCCCAAAATCCCAGATGTTGATATTGTTAAAGGTTAACGCTTATTGTACAGAAAAAAATTTCAGAATTATTACAAATGTGTTTGAGATGAGGTGAATTAAAATATTATAAAAAATAATTCACCCACCTTGCATGTGTGTATTCTGTAAGAGTTCTGTACAATAATTTCTGTACGAGTAGCATTGCTCATTGTTAAAAGTCAAGGGATGTTTTGGGAAGACAATTACTCCATGTACTCTAATTTTTTTAACTCATTTTTAATCATGCCTTCTCTTAATAAAATAAGTTCATAAATTTAAAACTTTATTTTATTTTTATTTTTTATATTTTGACTATACATTAACTAAAAAATCAGTATTGCAAAATTTATTTTTTTAAAAGTAAATCTCAAACACACACTTAAATTGTTATTAGAATTAAATTTGAGTTTCGTCATCACACACACACATATGAAATGTACAAGTGGCAAATATATCTTTAATAAAAAAAATTAACTACTTTACAAATGAGGGAACGTGTTAAATCGAAAATTGAAATAAATGAGCACAAACAACTTCTTTTTCCTTTCGGTTGTTATTTATGCTAATCAAAAGTAAATAATATTAGCCTTTTTTCTCAATTATTAGCTGACTTTTGAAAGGATTAGGTTAAGATGAAATGATAGTCTCCATCAAACTTAGACAAGAGTATCTTTTCAACATGGTGCTGTCCGTTGGATAACTTAGCAAAACTACTTTTAAGTGTAAATATTCACCATAAAGACACGATAAGAAGTGTTAAGAGTTAGGGTTCTATCTTAAAATGTCGACCTTATTAAGAGAAGTAATCCAATATTTTATAAGTTGATCTATATTTTTATCTTTATTTGATATAGTATTATATTCTTAACAAGGAGATGAAATCTGGTGGTGAAGCCTGAAAAGAGCTCGATATTTGTGGGATAGTGTGACTTTTCAAGTGAAATTATTACTCACTCTATATCAGGTAAAATTAATTGTAAGGAGTCTCACCACCTGTTACTATTCAGAAACTCCATAGTTCAAATAAGACACGAACGTGAACAGAACATCGTGATGTAATTTCCAGTTTTCATAACTGTTCATTGTGATGCATATTGATCAATGGAACGGTATACGTGAGAACTTTTTGTTGCCTTGGAAAGGTGATCTTTCAGAAATGGTCCTTCAATTTTAGTAGGGTTGTCTGAATAAAGCAGATCCTATTGCCTTGGAAAGGTAATCTGTCAGAAATGGTCCTTCGATTTTGAAGATTTTCATTTGTACAAAAAATTGTTTTAAAAAATTCTATAAGAAATCTCACGTGTGGGATACATATTGTGATAAAAAATATCAAAAAATTTCCCACCTACTCCCGCTATGTTTGTTTTGTATGATTTCTGTGTGTGCAGTTTCTATACACACGGCAAGTTTTTTTGATTTTAGTATAGTTCGAATAAAGCAGATCCTATTGATCATTCGAAGCACTAAGATGATAATAAGTCTTGAAGCACGACTACACAGACACCCTCATATTCACAAGAAAATACAAGAAAAGGATTAACCCGATTCAAAACAACGAGAGAGTTTCGTGTACAATGAAAATAAATAATTTTGTTTCATATTACAATAGTGACACTATACTGAAGCAAAGCTCGAGATAAAGATAATTGGTTTCTCGAGACTCTTATAGTGTCATCTTGTTTAGGCAAACGTAATAGTCAAATTGTTTTGTCTTTATAATATCAAACTATTATCAAGCATTGATCAATTTATGGTCAAGGACGACTACAAACAATTTACGCTTTAATAGTTTTGTTGAAAGTGGTTATGATTGAGGTGTTTTTGTGTTTACAGAGACAAGATTATTTAAAATAGTTGCCATAAATTGACGTAGATAACAATTTAGTCCTCATATTTTAAAGATAATGATTTCTCCAGTATCTTGTAGAGGCATCTTGTTAAAGGTAACATGATTGTCGAGTTATTTTGTCCTTAAAACACCATATACCGTAAATCATTGATCTTTTTGTTGTCCATAAGGAATGACGACTTTAGTGGCTTTGTCGAAAGTGATAGTAATTGAGGTGTTCACTAGACAAAATTGTGGCCACATATTGTTTTAAAGGACAATACTATCTGTACCGAATTTTTTTACCGAATCTTTTATCTATTATTCACAACATAGGTGGGGACCACATTTTTGCATTATTAAATTCATGCAGGGCCCACCATACATTGTGAGAGGGTGTAAAATACTCAGTAAGGAATTTGGTGTACAAATATCTTTTTCCTTGTTTTAAATAATTCATCCCAAGACAGGTCACCCCGCACGCACCCCAATTCCCTTTGTGTAAAAGTTTAGTCTGTCGCATTCAAGGCTTTTAAGGACAAAAGAGAGACACTTTATAAGATGGCTGAAATAGGTACACATTCTTCTCACTTTAATTTCTAAATTCCTATTATATCCCAAAAAAAGTTATAATTGAAAACAATTATGCAACTTGTACATTTTATTTGACACCAAATTTGACATTTTGCCACATGACAGAGCATGATTAGACAATTTTTAAAAACTACACAATTTCTCGCCAACAACGTTTTGAATTTTCAAAGCATATCAAACTTCATGTACGATGTGGAATGTACAAAAAGCTTTATTCTTGTTGCATATTGTCATACTTAGCCAACTACCTGGGCCAATGGCCCACTCAGGTCGAACCACGTGGCATTCCAGCCGAGGCGGTATATATTGCCAAGGTGGCTATGGTCGAAGCCCTCCAATCCGAGGCATGCCCTTTCACCGAGGCCTGTAATCGTAATCGAGGTCCACATGCTGAGGCCTATGACCGACGCCATGATGCGGAAGCTGGTTGAAGTTAGTCGAAACCCTCAAGTGGGAGTATTGTATGAAATGGCCGAAGCCGATGCAGGAGCCTCCGAACCACATGGAAGCGTCCTCCATGGTCACTTCTCCCAAGAGATCGTCTACACAAAGATCTCATTCGAATGATTGATGGAACGTTTGTCATAAGCATAAATGTCAAGTCTTATCACTAGTATGGAGGCCTTGCATAAGCAATAAATGCGCAGTAAGCTAGCAAGTCAAGCCTCCTGCCTAGGATAAGATGTTTGAATCAAAGAGATGAAACCACATGCCACCTCATCCAAGGGCTCCCATTTCACATGTATCACTATAAATACTTCTCTTGTGTAACATCAAATGACTAATGCAAGAATCAATACAAAGAACTACACTTTACTCAACTCTCTCTCTCATCTACTTGCAATACACAAATCGAGTTTACACATATTTACATATATATCTACGAACACCGGTTAGTAATTATTGTACAATTAGATCACGAACAACCCGCCGGATTCCGAACGTCACCGTCCCGTGTCGTTGGGCTACTCCCACGCCCTTTGAATCGCTCGTTGTAGACCGTCCACGTGTCATAGCGTGTTGGACATTCGTCCACGTGTGTGCGGATGAGACCGACATCTATTGACAACACTTTTTGGGGTCAACAATTCTAAATGAAAACAAGTGCATCGAACATCAAAACTACCCTCAAAGTCAACCGCTTACGCCATTCCAGTCGCTGCTCTTCACTTCCTCCCGCGCTCTTCACTTTCCAAGGCCATGTCAATGTTATGTTTTTCATGCGTTTCTTTTTGTTAACATGTTTACACCTATTCAAATCAAATGTCAACTAAAGTTTACGATTGTTCTAGCAAAGCAAAATATTTCAAATATATGTTAAAATTCTAATTCGCACGTGTTTGAAACATAAAACTCTATTAATTAAAGAATTTAAAACAAGTGAGATTTGAAGAAAGTTTTCAATGTTTTTACTAATATTCCAAAACCAACCAAATTGCAATAAAATTCCAATTCTCTATTTACATACAAACTCAGAAAAACTTATTTATTTTAATAAGACTCATAATCGAATTAAAACTCCTACTAAACATAAAGTAATGAGATACAAGTTAATTAACAATAATAGAATATTAGCTTAAATGTATCAATTATCATGCATCAGCAAGGATTCAAGATGTCTTTTTGAAGGTCAATTGTCATATAAAATTTAAGTATTTGTACATCTTTGGATAAATAATATTTTATAATGAAGTGTGTCACACGCATATGTTTTAGTCATTTTATTACATTGGTATTTGCACGTTTTAAATAAGCCATGAATTATTATGTGGCTAGATTTGAATGATCGTGTAAAGTACTGTTTGATTATTCAAAGTTTTGATACTCTCTCTCTCTCGCAATCACAAGAAAAACTTTTGTAGGACAGTAGCACCGTCCCATGTGATACGATTGGCGAATGGAGAGTCATCACCTCGTTAGGTGGTCTATCACCACTCAATGAGGTAGGGCCACATCAAGACCTGAGGTGGAAAGAGGAAAAAAAAAATTAAATCCTGAAATGGCCTCATCTCATTGGGTGAGGGTGGACCACTCGATGAGGTGGTGGCTCCTTATTTGACGATTGCACCACATAAATCGGTGCATCCGCCCCACCGAAGCTTTTCTCGTCAAGCAGGGGCTCAATGAAACAAAAATTCCACTGTTGCAAAATATATAAGTTACATAGAGTTCATAAATTTAAAATGGGATTACTACGAGCAGGAATGATGTAAACATCATGCTAATTGTACTCATGGACAACCTGCATCAATCGAGTGCTTACTTTCCATGACCTCTACACAATGAACAAACCTTACAAAGATAATGGAGAAATTTGCTTATGTAAGTCTTTGATCTGAAGATTTTTCATTCAACAAATTCGTACTGAACATAAAAAATTACTGTACAGTTAAAAGATTAAAAATTTATAATCTTGTCTATTATCCCATCAGTTACTAATAAAAAAACGTCCCCTCTAACATCATTATCATCAACATTTTTAATGTGTATTCTTTGTTTTTTCTTAATCAACGCAGTGATGTTTAGGCACCAATTTTCGTTCATAAGATACAATTTGACACACAAACTAGTGACAATATAATCTTATGCCACTAGAACTCCATATTCAAATCTAGTTTTACATCTCTCTCTCTCTCTCTCTCTCTCTCTGCGCGTGAACCTCTGCTTCTCCATGGCTACCTTGCAGTCATCTTTTAGCAGTCCAACAATCAAAATCCAAAGCTCCCAACAGTTCTTCACAAAATTGAACTCCATAAAAACCAGAAATCTTATCTTCTCCAACAGAAAAAGTTACCCAAAACAATCAACTGTCATAAAATGCTCCACTATTCCAAGTTTGTACCCTGAAATTCAAGAAACTGATGAAGAGCAAAGATGGGAAGACACGAGGCCTGTTAATGAAATCTGGAGAGAACTTCATGGCTGCAACAACTGGGAAGGCCTCTTAGACCCCATGAATTCTAATTTACGCAACGAAATTATTCGTTATGGCGAAATGGCTCAAGCCTGTTATGATTCATTTGATTTTGATCCTCACTCAAAATACTGTGGAACTTGCAAGTATCAAGGGGCACATTTCTTTGAAAGATTAGGCATGGCAGATAGAGGCTACACTTTAACAAGACATCTATATGCAACTTCAAATATAAACTTGCCAAATTTCTTTCAGAAATCTAGGCTGAGCAGTATTTGGAGTCAGCATGCAAACTGGATGGGGTATGTGGCAGTAGCTACTGATGAAGAGGAGATCCGCCGACTAGGGCGGCGAGATATAGTGGTGGCGTGGAGGGGCACCGTGACCTACTTGGAATGGATTCATGATCTCAAAGACATATTACATCCCGCCCATTTTAGGAATGATCCATCGATCAAGATTGAATCAGGGTTCTTTGATTTGTACACGACCAAGGAAAAGACGTGCAAATATTGTGCTTTTTCAGCTCGTGAACAAATTCTTGCTGAAATCAGGAGGATTATCCACCGGTATTCAACTATCTCGTCTAAAAGTTTAATTTAAAACAAACTTATTATTATTATTATTATTATTATTATTATTATTATTATTATTATTATTATTATTATTATTATTATTATTTTACTAAGGCTTATCTTCAATCCACATAGTTCATCTAAAAGTTCAAAATTTTATAGATGAAACAAATTTCCGTAGCCTCGTGTACAAATCAAAATTTTTTTATTCACTAAACGTCTAACATGTATGTATGATTTTCAACTTGGCGGTGCAGCTTGTACAACAAATCATCTCATCATAAACGTTATGCTGTTAGGGTTCTTGTAATTAAACTTTATCTTCAACAGGTACCCAGGAGAAAACTTGAGCATAACAATAACAGGCCACAGTCTTGGAGCTGCCTTAGCTCTATTAAGCGCCTACGACATTGCTGAGGTTGAATTAAACGTTGTAGATGACGGAGAAACGACGACAAAAATTCCCATCACCGTATTTTCGTTCTCGGGCCCTAGGGTTGGAAACTTAAAGTTCAAAGAAAGGTGTGATGAGCTTGGAATTAAAGTTTTAAGAGTCATCAACGTGCATGATAAGGTCCCAACGGTGCCTGGAATTATTACAAATGAGAAATTCCAATATCAAAAGTACTTGGAGAAGGCCATATCATTTCCGTGGAGTTATGCACATGTTGGAGTTGAATTGCCATTGGACCACACCCGCTCTCCATTTCTAAAGAACAATAATGATATGAGATGTGCACATAATCTTGAGGCCCACTTGCATTTAGTGGATGGCTACCATGGAAAAGACAGGCGATTTTGCTTGGCCACAAAAAGAGATATTGCACTTGTTAACAAGAGTTGTGACTTTCTGAAAGCTGATTATGGTGTGCCACCATATTGGTGGCAGGATGAGCACAAAGGGATGGTGAGGACTAGCGACGGGAGGTGGATGCTGCCGGAGCGGCCTAGGGTCGAGGCACTTCCGGCGGACACTGCCCACCATTTTGATCAAGTGATCAGATATTCTAGGGCCAAGCTAGGTTTACTATAGGCATTAAAGTTAGTGCTACCTATAACGTGCCTGTATTTAATTCAGACGCTATGATCTTTTTCTTTACAATGAGATAAGAGTTTCATCTTTCACTTCGCTTGTAAACTTTAAAGAAGAAATGAAATCCAGCAACTTCAATGCATCAGTTCTTTTTAAAAATATGATTATATAAATAAAAAATCTCTTGTCGTTAACTTTTTATTTAACTTAAATGATTGAAAAATTATCCACATTATTGGGTTTGCTCTTCAATAGTCACCAATTTGAATCTCTTCAGTGTCACTGAGGTGAGTACCCATTTGTAAATTTCGGGGCCTTGTGAAATTAGTCGAGGTGCGCGTGAGCTGGTCCGAACACCCATGATCATAAAAATTAAAAAAAAAAAAAATATCCGCTTCAGGAATTTGAAATAAATTTTATTAACGGAAAAATCAGGTCACATATTTCATCGTCAACTTCTTCTTTGTTATAATATACTTTAAGAACGAATTTTGGGATAGAATTTTAGTGAGTAAATAATTCTAAAATAAAATTTATTACTGATTTGTCGCGGGCAAACTTGTAAACCCGCTTATAATAGTACCACACCAGGGTGAAAATTTGTTGTTAATTGGCTCCAAAGATATTATTAAAGGAATCTTGTGGTCGTTCCGTCAAATCTGTTACAGTAAAAAAGGGAAGCAATGCTGAGGCACCACCTCGGCAATGGCCCACGCACCTTGAGGGTGTGTGATCGGCCACCCGTCAAGGTGACGCACCGTAATAGGGCGGCGTACTGAAGATTCTCTTGTAAAAAAGGAACAAAAGAGGGGGGAGAAATCTTCATTTGACTGGAGGGACTGAAAATGTGCAATCAATCATCACAAATTTACTAGTTACAGGAGTCCGACACTTTTTGCTCGATATTTGGGGATTTGGGTGTTTAAGATATTACTACATGATTGTAACAAATTTTCATTTATTAAAAAAAAAAAAAGTATCTAAAAATATCGTAGATTTTCTATTAGTTTTCTGCATAATGATGCCAATGTACTTGGTATTACTGGATACTATGTTATCAAGTCCGTGTTTGTAACATAACCTTTATTCAAATATGTGTTACTTCACATTAATGGGCAAGAACTACCATTTGGCAAAATTTGTGTAAAAAATTTATAAATGGTCAAAGTTCATTGATAATCATACATTTCAATGGACCCACAAATACTTCTACTTATCCATCATTTCATTTTATTTATTTGTAAATTAAATCGTCTATAAATTCTTTCCAAGCAGAAGCAAAATCTAACTCCAAAAAGTTTAACACGTGATGCCCACATTTTGATTTAACTAAGATTTAGGCGACCTCATTAAAATGTAGGAGACTAACTTGCTATTGAATAAATATGTTGGGGACCAACGATGCAATTTTTATATCACTAAAATGACAATTCTCAATTTGATTCCTAAGAATATATAGGTCCCCATCCACCACTAATGTCAAATCAATTCAAATCCCTGTAAATTTACCTCTTTTATGTAAGCAATTTTTGAAGCATATATAACTTAGATTCATAATGTTGATGAGGACTTTGATATTTTGCAATTTTTGAAGCATATATAACTTAAATACATAGAGTTGATGTGGACTTTGATATTTTTGGGACTGTTTTGATTCTTGAATAAACAGATGCCAATCATTTTTCTCAAGAAATCTTGGATATGGAACAAATTTATTTTTCAAGAAAGTATATTATGTCATTGAAAACTTTAATGACGTGTTTGTATGATGAATTAATTAAACCACTCTTAATCATATTAAAGAAGAAAACTATGTTGAAAACTTTAGAGAAAACGAGTTTTCATTTGTCATGGGATTTTCGCCCAGTTGGACTGATTTAATATCTCTTACGTGCCACGACAAATTTCCATTCAACACGTGGCACGTTCTGTTAATTGAAGTTGACAGAGATTAAATGGGTGATGGATGGATAAGTATTTGAATAGATGAGTGAGCAACAGGTTAAATTTTATAGTTCGGTGAGCAAATAGAAATGTAAATTGAAGTAGGGTGATCATTGATTAAATTTACTCTAAAATCTTTATTTGATAAAAATCAATTATTAACTTACCAAAAGCTTGCTTTATTCATTAAAATTCTAAATTCATTAAATAACTCAACTAAAATACAAATCAAAACAATATCTTTCGACCTCGATAACTTGGATTTCGCTTATTCAAATTACCTTTTTCTCGAGTCTAATATACATAATTAATTACGAGCTATTTAACAAATTCAATATTGATATATTTGTCATTAATCTATCAATATTTGAATATTTGACTAAAATAAAATTGAATTTAATATATATCATTTTGGTCCCCCAACTTTTCCAAAATATAAAATCTATAACACGTAAAATAATTAATTCTACTCTACTAAAATCTATGAGACTTTACATGGGGTTGTGTAATTTCCTCTTCCGAGAGGCAGGGCAGGAGAAAGCCCAAATAAGAAGTTTAGTCGGAATTCTTATTGGGGAAATTAGGCTCAACCATATATTTAACTTCTACTTTTGAAAAATCGGGTGATTAATTAAAAAAAAATTGCTAAATCAAATTGAAAATTCAGAATTTCATTATTTATTTAGTTTCACTTTTATGATGCTATTTCAAAAACTATGGTAATTTAACAATTTGTTTTCTATTTTATTGCAAAATAAAGGAAGAGTAAATAATTTACATAATTTTTACCTAGAAAAATACAACCATTATCTTTCCTTTTACAATGCCAGAGGGCCACAAATTTGTGATCGTAACTCTGCAATACAGAAGCGATCTAGACATAATTGTATGTTGATAAACATCTGATGCGAACTCGGTTAGCAAGGTTGTTATCGAACCCACAGGAATTGACACTAGATCCCAAGAACGCCCAAATACGATCAAGGTTTAGGATTTAACTTCTAAACGATGAACCAAGCAATCGAAAGTATATTAAAACAATAATCTCTTGATCACAAAGTCTCGAAATCTCACCCGAATTGTGGACTTGAACCAAAAAATCCAACAAGAACGATGCTTGAAAGACCACTTGATTACATAACCCAAAGATCCAACTCGATTTTTTGAACGCCACAAGAAATCACTTTCTTGATAACTTCGATTTGCCCATTTAAGAACAAGATAATTGAAGCGAAAAGTTTTGAGAGAATTTTTATTCAATAATTCATGTGAAAAGTATTGTATATTACAATGAGAAAATAAACCTATTTATACTAAAAGCCTAGCAAGTAGTTTGAAAAGGAATGAACTCTAAAAATATAAAAGTTACCAAAATTAAGAATTCTAAACAAAATAAAACTCCTAAGAATATAGAAATTACCAAAAATAAAGAATTCTAACCAAAACTAACAAATCGTGAATTTTGGAAACTTTCCATGTCAGAATTGACATTGCGGATCATATCAGTCTCTCTCTCTTCGAAAGGATTCGACCTCAAATCCAAATCTTGAATGTTCAAATTATAGCCTTTATCTCCAATCAACGCAAGAACATAAAATGGTCCATCTCTCCTCGGATGCAATTTGGACCGCTTTTGAGTTCAAACCCTTCTCTTGCATATGTAAATCCAATCTCCTTTACATTGATCAAAATGTGTATGTTTAGACGGCTTCCTCTTGCCATTTTGTGATGCTCTAAGAATGATTTTAGCTGATAAATCACCATTCATTTTCCATGCTTTACTCGGCCTAGGTGATTGTAGTAACGACAATTCAAACTGATACCTATTTCCAGGAATACCAATTTTGTAGTTCAATCCACTGCATATGAACTCCTTGCAAACAAATTCCTTCCATCGCATTTGAAACTCTGTTGTTTCCTCGGGAATCACAAATTCAATCTCATGTATATATGATATCCTCCTAAGCAAGATGTGGTTGATGTTGAAGTTTATCCACCAATTGATGCTTGATGCTTGGATTGTAAGGGATTCCAATGGGATTATTTTCTGGAATTAAATCTTCGGTGACTTGCAAAACAAAATTATTCAAAATACAGAGGGAAAAGTTAGTGTTCGCCAACGCTTCCTCAATTTTAACCTCCTCTTTATGCAAGCTCACTTTTGATTCCCTTTCATCTCCGACGACTCCCCCTTTTTTTTTCAAGTTAACTCTCGACTTCCATTTCACTCTTTTGTGGCTGTTCTCCATTTACTTTTACTCTCTTGCACTTTCATGTGATTAATTGAGATTTAACCTTGTCACGAAGCCTTGTTACTTCTAATTTGAAATCCCAACTTACCAACTCACTTGATGTACTACGCACAAGCTTCGCACTAGGTGTTTTCTTTTTCCTTAGGCACTCAACCCCATAAGATCTTCTAGGCATGTCCCTAATTTCCTGCTTATGCCGACCACTCCTATAATAATAATTTGGCGCATATCGTTTCCTCATAATCGCCCTCAACTCATCCCAATTCTCAATCGGCCTCTCACCATACCTTCACCTAGATGTTGTCAATTGATCCCACCAAATTGTAGCATGTTCCACAAATGAGTTCACAACCAAATTTAACTTTCTCTCCTCGGAGTAATTATGGCACTCAAACATCAACTCAACTTTTTCTTCCCACGCCACGTACGCCTCGGGATCACTACTCCCCTTAAATTTTGAAATTATCTTTTTCATACTCCTATAATAATTCATATTCTTTCTTCCAAACCTATCGCCTCTATTTTTCATACCCTGTATTGCATCATCAATCCACGCATCTTTATCACTATCACTACAATATTCGTATGCATCATAAATTTCATTCCTAAGCTCCCATCTATTCCTTCTCCGCACATTAGACATTCCAACACATTGATGTCCATGAATATTTTTTAATTTCACATCCAGTTTGTATAACTTATTTCCCATATTCTCCATACCCACCAACAACCTTTCAAATCGCTGCATCATCCTTTCCGACATTTCGAATTGACTTTGACGTGAATTCGACATTTTTTTGACACTTTCTTTTTTTCTAACTCTTTTTTTTTTGACTTTTTTGTTACTCAATTTTTTTTTAAAACTTGACAACGAATCAAAGACTCAACAAAAATTGAAAATTACAAGAACACCAATAACACAAAGAAAACGTGGAAAACAAAAGGACTCGACAAAAATAAAATAAAATTTGGATATAACATTGATCTTGGTGCCTCAACTTTGATACCAAATGATGCGAACCCGGTTAGCAAGGTTGCTATCGAACCCAGAGGAATTGATACCGGATCCCACGAACGCCCAAATACGACCAATGTTTAGGATTTAACTTCTGAACGATGAACCAAACAACCGGAGGTGTATTAAACCAAAGACTTCTTGATCACAAAGTCTCGAAATCTAACTCGAATTGTGGACTTGAACCAATAAAATTATGAACCAAAAAACCTAGCAAGAACGATGTTTGAAAGACTCCTTAATTACATGACCAAAAGATTCAACCCGATATTTTTTAACATCACAAGAAATCACTTTCTCGATAAGTTCGATTTGTCCATTGAAGAACAAAATAATTGAAGCGAAAAGTTTCGAGAGAATTTTCATTCAATAATTCATATGAAAAATCTTGTGTATTACAATGAGAAAATAAACATATTTCTACTAAAAATCTAGCAAGTTGTTTGAAAAGAAATAAAAATATAAAAATTACCAAAATTAAGAATTCTAGACAAAATAAAACTCCTAAAAATATAGAAATTACCGAAAATAAAGAATTCTAACCAAAACTAACAACTTGTGTATTTTGAAAACTTTCCCTGCGGAAATTGACGTTGCGAATCATATTAACATCCCATCAAATATCACAACAATCACTATTGTTTATCACATCTCACATGAATTGGTGACAATTACACGATGTAGCAGGGCCATAGACATAATTTCATTTTAAAACATCGCATCCAAGGTCAATGGTTGACATACATGTTAGACCAATTAATGTGGCCCCACGTAATATTATAAATAAATTAATATTTGGTCTATATTTATTGAAAATCTGATTGGTCATTGAGAAGTGACAGTTTTGTAACTATCCACTTTGATGGAAAGTGGGTAGTTTTGGCCTAAAAGAAAACTGCCTCTTTCTGCCATTTTAACGTGAATGAAAAACCATCAATAAGAACATTCAAGAACAGTAAGGAAAAGAGAGAGAACAGTTTTCTTTATTCTCACTGATTTCTCTTTTGCAGATTTAATAAATTCCAATTTTCTTCATGGATCAAGGTATGTTACTTGATCAAATTACTCATACGTGAAAATCATAGAATTCCAAGATCTTGGCATTAAAGTATGAATTTATTGCTTACATGTGGTATCAGAGCCCAAGTTATGGAATTCATGATTTTTCGTTAAAGATTAATGTTTTACATTCATAGATCTTTAATTTTTCGTATCGATTTATGGATCAATGCGTAAAATAAGAATGACAGATTCCGCTGCAAATATGTTTCTGTTTTCTGATTGACTGCTGTTAAAATAATAAATGGATCTTTGATTTTTACTGCACCGATATTAATCTGTGAAAAGAGCAGTCCCTGTTTCATCAGAAAAATTACACATCAATTGCATTTATTATTGTCTCACGTATTATGTAAATTAACGGATGGGATGACTTCCGTAGAAAACATTATAAATTCTGTCAAACCTGATGAATTATTATTGGTTGAAGAAAAGTTGATTTCTTGGTTTTCACAATGAAAAGTGGATCTGCCGTCCACTGTACGTATATAATTTTGGAAGTTTCTGGGCTACCTTTCTGCCTATGAATTTATGGGGACCTTCACCATTTATAACATGATTATTATATGAATAGAAATTGGAAACCTGACACGTTGAAAGGAAAGAGTGTACGCCTATATTTATGTCAAATTGGCCTTTGTATCAAATGTTTATTTCAAAAGGGCTCTAATTCCAAGACAATGGCAGAACTGTGTGCATATTAATTTTATACAGTAACTACAGAAGGTGGTACTCTCACTGTTGAAATGACAGTATAAATGAGTGCCTAATTTACTGTAGTAATTCTGTAATTAGTGTAGTTTGGGTGTCGAATTTTTAAAGTATCTGGCCATATATATATTAATTACTGACTACCTCACATGAACGATTAATTGTACTATGTGATTAGATGACTGCTTCAATTAATTTATCATGTGTTTTGTGGTTGGTCAAATGTACGTAAATCTGAAATTAATGTTATGTGATAAATATTTTGTTTATGTAATTTATGTTCAATTAATGTTGTTTGTTAGTCACCAAAGTGGCCAAACATTATGGGATGTAAACATTAAATTACATAATTTATTTGTCAAACACTCTTGATAATGTGATGCTTATAACAGGAAATGACATTAAAATTATTGATGTCAAGAGTGTATTGACGTTCATAGATTATAAAATTATTATGGATCGCCCAAAGGTTGATCGGTCAATTTTATTAATCTTGAACATGATCGTGGTTAATTGATATACTTAATTGGATCTGTTTTGTATATCCAAAGATGACAGACATGTTTGATTGGAGTATGATTAATTACCAATTAAGTGAAATTTAATTAGCATCACTATGTTTATTATGATGGTATAATGTAGTATCACCCAAAGGAGAACTACGGAATACATTTATTGTTGTCCGAATCTGAACTAAGTGTTTAAGTCAAAACTCAAAGCATTAATGTTAGAGCATTTTATATTTTGCAGTATCTGTTCCCGTTTCTCTGCATTCGCATGCTTCATCTGTACCACTGTTCAATGTGCTCAATTTCTCTGACTAGTGTGAACAAGTCCAGTTCAATTTAGGTGTTTTGGATTTGGACTTGGCACTTCAAGTTGAGAAACCTGCTGATCTCACTGATGAGAGCAGTGCTGATGAAAAATCTTTCCATAAGGCTTGGGAAAGGTCTAACAGATTAAGCCTAATGTTTATGTGAATGACCTTGGCAAAGAATGTCAAGTCTACTATACCTAAAACTGAGAGCGCCAAGGAATATATGAAGTTTGTGGAAGAACGTTCCCAAACAGCTGACAAATCGCTTGCTGGCACACTGATGGATACATTAACCACCATGAAATTTGATGGTTCTCGTACCATGCATGAGCACGTTACTGAAATGAGTAACATTGCAGCAAGACTTAAGACTCTTGGGATGACTGTGGATGAGAACTTCCTAGTACAGTTTATCATTAACTCTTTGCCTCCTGAGTATGGTCCATTCCATATGAATTATAATACCTTAAAGGACAAATGGAATGTGAATGAATTGCACAGTATGCTCGTGCAAGAGGAGACAAGGCTTAAGAATCAAGGAACTCATTCTATTCATCTTGTAAGTCGTCAAGGAGATGGAAAGAAATATAAGAAAAGGTCTGGAAAGGGCATTAAGCAAGGACCACTAAAGATAAATGAGTCTTCTGCCCAAATCCACAATAAGGAACACAAGAAAGATGTGTGCCATTTCTGTCGCAAACCTGGGCACCATAAAAAGGACTGCCTGAAACGTAAGGCATGGTTCGAAAGTAAAGGTAAGATTATTTCTTACGTATGTTTCGAATCTAATTTGGCAGAAGTTCCTTATAATACTTGGTGGATTGATTCTGGATGTACCACTCATGTTACTAATACGATGCAGGGATTCCTTTCAACCCAGACCATAAATCTAAATGAAAAGTTTGTCCTCATGGGAAATCGAGTCAAAGCTCCAGTTGAAGCCATTGGAACCTATCGTTTGATTTTAGATATTGAACATCATTTAGATTTATTTCAAACACTTTATGTACCTTCCATTTCTCGCAATTTAGTTTTTTTATCAAAACTTAATTCCGCTGGATATTTCTGTAATGGTGGAAATGGAAGTTTGAATTTGTTTAAACAAAATCATCTTATTGGTTCCGCTATTCTTTGTGATGGCTTATACAAATTAAAGCTTGATAATCTTTTTGCTGAGACTCTTTTAACCTTGCATCATAGTGTTGGTACTAAACGTGGTTTACTGAATGAACGGTCTGCTAACTTGTGGCATAAACGTTTGGGTCACTTATCCAAGGAAAGGATGGAAAGATTAGTAAAGAATGAAATTCTTCATGACTTGGATTTTAGTGATCTTGGAATTTGTGTGGATTGTATTAAGGGTAAACAATCCAAACACACAAAGAATCCAAACACACAAAGAAAGGAGCCACAAGAAGCACACAACTTCTTGAGATAATACACATCGATATATGTGGGCCTTTTGATGTTTCATCATTTGGTGGAGAAAAGTATTTTATCACCTTTATTGATGATTTTTCACGTTATGGCTATGTTTATTTGCTGCATGAAAAGTCTCAAGCTGTAAATGCTTTAGAGATCTTTGTCAATGAAGTTGAACGGCAATTAGACAGAAAGGTGAAAATTATTAGATCTGATAGAGGTGGTGAATATTATGGAAAATATGATGAAACTGGACAACACCCTGGTCCATTTGCTAAATTTCTTGAAAGACATGGCATATGTTCTCAATACACTATACCAGGCACACCACAACAAAATGGTGTGGCTGAAAGGCGTAATCGTACTCTAATAGAAATGGTTAGGTGTATGTTGAGCGATTCATCTTTACCTATTTCCTTGTGGATGTTTGCATTAAAGACTGCCATGTATTTACAAAACAGGGTTCCTAGTAAGGCAGTTCCAAAGACTCCTTTTGAACTGTGGACGGGAAGAAACCCAGTTTAAGGCACCTGCATATTTGGGGTTGCCCGGCAGAAGCAAGAATTTATAATCCACATGAAAAGAAGCTGGACTCAAGAACAATCAGTGGATTTTTCATTGGTTATCCAGAAAAATCAAAGGGGTATAGATTTTATTGTCCTAATCATAGTACTAAAATTGTTGAAACTGGAAATGCTAGGTTCATTGAGAATGGTGAAGTTAGTGGGAGTTTGGAACCACGAAATGTGGAAATACAAGAAGTTAGAGTTCAAGTTTCTCTACCCTCAACTTCTTCTAATGTTGTTGTTCCTCAAATTGTTGGACGGCATAACAATTTACCTGAACAACAAATAAATGAACAAACACCCCACAATGAAGTTGCTACTAATGAACCTGCATTAAATGAACCATAAGAAATAGCATTAAGAAGGTCATAAAGACAACGAAGACCTGCTATTTCTGATGATTATGTGGTTTACCTACAAGAGACTAAATTTGACTTGGGAATTGTTGATGATGATCCAGTTTCATTTTCACATGCCATTGAGAGCGCCAATTCTGATAAGTGGTTAGATGCTATGAAAGATGAGTTAAAATCTATGGAGCATAATGAAGTCTGGGATCTCGTCGAATTACCAGAATCATGTAAAAGAGTTGGGTGTAAATGGGTCTTTAAGACCAAGCGCGACTCTAATGGTAATATCGAACGATATAAAGTTAGACTAGTTGCCAAAGGTTTTACTCAGAAAAGTGGCATTGATTATAAGGAGACATTTTCGCCAGTCTCCAAGAAAGACTCACTCAGAATTATAATGGTTTCAGTAGCTCATTATGACTTAGAGTTACATCAAATGGATGTGAAAACCGCCTTTCTAAATGGAAATTTAGATGAAGAAGTTTATATGGATCAGCCTGAAGGTTTTTCAGTTAAAGGAAAGGAACACATGGTGTGTAAATTAAAGAAATCAATATACGGACTTAAACATGTTCCCCGTCAATGGTATCTTAAGTTCAACGATATCATTATTTCTTTTGGATTTAAGGAAAACATCGTTGACCGATGTATATATCTAAAGGTCAGTGGGAGCAAGTTTATATTTTTGATTCTGTATGTTGATGATATCTTGCTAGCTATTAATGATCTTGGTCTATTACACGAGACTAAGAAATTTCTCTCTAAAAATTTTGAAATGAAAGAAATGGGAGAGGCAACCTATGTGATTGGAATTGAAATATTCCGTGATAGGTCACAAGGATTGTTAGGGTTGTCTCAGAAAGCATATATCAATAAAATTTTAGAGAGATTTAAAATGGAAAATTGTTCAGCGAGTGTCGTTCCAATTCAGAAAGGAGACAAATTTAGTTTCATGCAATGTCCTAAGAACGACTTGGAACGCAAACAAATGGCAGTCATTCCTTATGCATCTCTTGTTGGGAGCCTAATGTATGCTCAGACTTGCACCAGGCCAGACATCAGTTTTGCTGTCGGAATGCTGGGCAGGTATCAAGGTAACCCAGGACTTGATCATTGGAAAGCTGCAAAGAAAGTATTGAGATACTTGCAAGGAACGAAAGATCACATGCTCACTTATAGGAGATCTGATAACTTGGAGGTCATTGGATATTCAGATTCAGACTTTGCTGGATGTATGGATACTAGAAAGTCTACATTTGGCTATTTGTTCCTCTTAGCTGGAGGGGCTATATCATGGAAAAGTGCGAAGCAGTCAGTCATTGCTGCATCCACTATGGAAGCCGAGTTTGTGGCATGCTTTGAGGCCACAGTTCAAGGAAATTGACTGCGGAACTTTATTTCAGGACTTGGAATTGTCGACAGTATAGCCAAGCCGCTGAAACTTTATTGTGATAATTCTGCAGCAGTCTTCTTTTCAAAAAACGACAAGTACTCTAAAGGTGCTAAACGCATGGAATTGAAATACTTTGCCGTTAAAGAAGAAGTTCAAAAACAAAAGGTGTCAATCGAGTATATTAGCACCAATCTTATGATTGCAAATCCATTAATGAAAGGATTGCCACCAAAGGCATTTAATGAACATGTCGAAAGGATGGGCATTATTGAAAATTATCATTGACATTATTATGTAATTGATGATGCTTATGTATTGACACTTGGAGCTCAATTATGTATTGTTTTTTACAAATGTTATTCCTGTCATAATTGTTGGTACATGTACATGAGTGAATTATCTGAATGCTGACAGGAATAGCCCTTTAAAGATATTATTAGAAACTTCTCATTACGTATCATGTTGAGTAAGGACTTATATTATAGTACATGGAAGGAATTATGCAAAAATGATGGTGTAAAATCACCATGACTCTTATTCGTCATTACTTAACGATGATATATTAAGTGACCAATGTATGAAGGATTTTAGCTTATCGTATGCGCATTATGTTATAGACCACATAATGATGTAATATTACTCGGGCCAAGTGGGAGAATGTTAGACCAATTAATGTGGCCCCACGTAATATTATAAATAAATTAATATTTGGTCTATATATATTAAAAATCTGATTGGTCATTGAGAAGTGACAGTTTTGTAACTGTTCACTTTGATGGAAAGTGGGTAGTTTTGGCCTAAAAGAAAACTGCCTCTCTCTGCCTTTTTAACGTGAATGAAAAATCATCAATAAGAACATTCAAGAATAGTAAGGAAAAGAGAGAGAACATTTTTCTTTATTCTCACTTATTTCTCTTTTGCAGATTTAATAAATTCCAATTTTCTTCATGGATCAAGGTATGTTACTTGATCAAATTACTCATACGTGAAAATCATAGAATTCCAAGATCTTGGCATTAAAGTATGAATTTATTGCTTACAATACAACCATAGTGTGGAGGGAGTCATATTCGACATCTTGAAATCACAACATACTTATAACGTTTCTTCTGACTGATGCAATGTCTAGACACAATTTCAGATATTTGAGTTAGGATATTGCCGACCAATGTGTTGTTTAAAAGAGAGAGAGAGAGAAAAAAAAGTTATAGTTTAGGGATAGATTTAAAAAAGAAAAAAAAAAACTATTTTTATGTATCCACCAAATACTTCTCGTATGAATCCTTTATTCAGGGAACTTAACAAATCAGTTACATTACATTATATCCTTAAAAAAAATGTATTTTGATATAACCTAATTTTTGTAATTTAAAAAAAGTGTTTCTTATTTCTTAAAATGAAACACTAATTAGTAAGGAGTTATCAAATTTCCTCTTTTTATTGTTTCCGTCCCTACTGAAGAAGCCCATTAACATGGATCAGAACTGGACCCATATTCAATGGGACCAATTACCAATCCTGTGAATGTATAGTGGAAATTATTTTGGAGCAGGCTTTTGAAGATTGTATTTTAAAAATCAAATTTAAAGTTTATTTATCCATAAATTAGGTGATAAATCAAAATTTTAATTTAAAATAATAATATTATATTATATTAATCTACCTACCTGCCCCATTTCACTCCAAACCATTTTTATTTTCTTCTTATTTATCTCTTTATTCTCTCCAATCTCTCCCTACTCTATTTGTTTCTACTTATCTTCTCGTCACCCACGCCCCGACTAGCAAGAGAACTAGCTGCGTACAACGACGCTCAATGGTCGCTACACGCGACAAATGGTCTCCATACTAGGCGAATCATCACGCGTGATGACGATGAACTGGTCGTTGTGCGACGCTTAGATTAATGTCAAAGATTATTATGCAAATGTCACAGATTAATGTCCATTGATCACATATCAAATAAAATTGGCCATAGATCAAACCGAATTGGTCACAAATCATATTTGCAGGTCACATTCCACAGATCACAAGTCACAATCCACATGACATAGTTCATATTACATAGGCTATACAAATCAATATCAACAGGTCATGGATTAAAATTAACTCATCACAAATCATATGTTACATGCCTTCGTGCCCTGATAACATGTCACATATTCAAGTTCACATGTCACATTTTATATGTTACATGTCATAGATAAAATTTTTACAGGTTATGGGTCATTTTGTAG